GAGCAAACAGCTATGGCTGCTCCTCAGTCCTGCCCTAAGAGGTCCCGGGTCTCAGTGTCGTGGTAATCGCTGCAAGCACCTCTGAGAGAAAGCCGCCCTCGAGTTCCTCCCACTGCCAGACAGTCTAGTTTCTCCCCGTATGAGTCTGGGTACCCAGAGACTCGCCCAGAACTGGAGTCAGGGCTGTAGGGACCTTGTGCCTCCCTCCCAATTGCAAAAGACACCAGAATCCTCCGTTGCCAGCCCCTTTCCACGGGTGCTCGAGCCTCCGTACCTCTGCACTTTACTTCCGCACCTCCTCTGAGTCTCAGTGTGCTTTTCTCTTTCCTTCTAGTTGTAGAATTTCCACTCAGCCAGACTTCCTGTGGTTCTGGATGATGTCTGTTTTGTCTTTTAGTTGTATTTTTGAAGTGGTTGTGCGAGGCAGCAATTTCAGGTGTTTACTTATGCTGCCATCTTGGTTTCTCTCCATAATCTTATATGGTCTAAAAGGGCCTCTCCTCTCTGCGATTTATTAATATAAAACCAGTTGTCAAAGGACATGAATAAGCAATTTACTGGATAGGAAATATAAAAAGATGGCCCCTCACTATTTTCAAAATACAAGTTAAAACAACAAGATAGCCTTTTTTGCCTTTTAAAATGACAACATTTGAGACAGAATACCAAGTTTTGATGGGCCTGTGCGGAAACAAGTCACTTTAATACACTGTTGGTGGAAGTACCAATTAGTACAGCCTCTCTCTCTTTTTGAAGGGCAATTTGCCAATATCTGTGAACATTTTAATTGTGTATAATTGTGTGTATGCTTTTGATTCACTAAATCCATCTCTATCAATTTATTCTAAACAAATGTACATGTATACAAAGATGCAATGATGTATGTCTATCAATAAGTGGCTAGTTAAGCAATTATTACCTCTATACAATGGACTATTTAAAAAACAAGGTAGATCTATATAGTCATGGAGAGATGTCCAAGGTTTTATATTATGAACATGGAATCTTTTCTATTTATTTAGACCTTCTGTACTTTCTATGAGCAATGTTTATCATTTTAATGTAGCAGTCTTTCACCTACTTGGTTAATTTATTCCTATGTATTTTATTCTTTTAGATGCTATTATAAACAAAATTTTTTTTCTTAACTTCATTTCAGATTTCTCATTGCTAGAAATGAATTAGTGATATACATAGAAATATCACTAATGTTTGTGTGTTGATCTTGTATCCTGCAACTTTGATGAATTTGTTTATTAACTTAAATATCTTATTTGCAGATACTTTAGGATGGTGTATATGTAAGATCATATCATATCATCTATGAATAATTGGTGGGGGGTTTTCCAGTTTGGATGCCTTTAATTTCTTTTTCTTGCCCAATTGCTCTGGCTATAACTTCCATGTAATGTTAAATAGAAGTGGTGAAAATTGGCATTCTGATCTTGTTCCTAATCTTCAAAGGAAGTTTTCAGCTTTTCACCATTAAGTATGATATTAACTGTGAGGTTTTTTGTAGATGCCCTTTATCAGGTTGTCTAAGTTCCCTTCCATTTCTAGTGAATTAAGTGTTTTTATCATGACAGGGTGTTGCTTTTTCTGTATCACATTAATCATTTTTATATGTTCAACCACCCTTTCATTCCTGGAATAAATTCCACTTGATCAGGATATATAATCCCCTTAATATACTGCTGGATTCGGTCTGCCAATATTTTGTCAAGAATTTTTAGACCTATATTCATAAGAGATATTGGTCTGAAACCAATACAAATAATATTGAATGTAAATTATAATTTTAAAAACTTTAAATAAATAATTTATCTAAACATTTTTGAAAGCTACATTTTTTTAAAAAAAAAGCTGGGATAGCAATACTTATACTAGACAAAATAGACTTTAAAACAAAGGCTATAACAAGAAATAATGAAGGACCCAACAATTCCACTTCTGGATATTTATCTGAAGAAACCCAAAACATAAAATCAAAAAACTATATGGTTCCATATGTTCATTGCAGCATTATTTACAATAGCCAAGATATGGAAGCAATGAAAGTGTCGATGAATAGATGAATGGATAGAGAAGAAGTGGTACATATATGCAATTAAATATGACTTGACCATAAAAAAATAATGTAATATTGCCATCCGTGACAACATGGACCTAGAGGGTATTGTGCTGAGTGAAAATAAGTCAGACAGGGAAAGACAAATGCCATATTATTTCACTTATATGTGTAATCTAAAAAATATATATAATAAATGAACAAGCAGACAAGAAACAGACTCATAGATACAGTGAACATTTTGACAGTTGCCACATGGTAGGGGTTTAGGGGAATAAGGTGAAGGGGTTAAGAAGTACAAATTGGTAGTTACAGAATGGTCATGGGATATAAAGTACAGCATCGGGAATATAATTAATAATATTGTAATGACTATGTGTGGTGTCAGATGTGTCCAAATTAATTGGGGTAATCACTTCATATGTTATATAAATGCTTAATCACTGTGTTGTGCACCTGAAACTAATGTACACAACTGTAATTAAAATATTAATAATTATTTTTAATGGAATAGAAAAAACATATTTTCTTGCCTTTGAAGAAACAGGCAGGGAACAGATAAATCAACATTTTAGTAGGTAGTCAAGTCGAGGTATGAGTTGCCATTATGCCTCATAGGTCCCATTTCAGGATTTAATATAAGAAACATATTTTCCTATCAGGTTCTGCACACAGCAGGAAGCCAGTCAGTGTTTGCTATTGATGGTGATAATTTGCTATTTTTCCAGAAGATTAATAAGTTCTTAAATCTGTGGGCTGTTCAAATTAAACCCCAGGTATATTTTATCAGGAATTGTCACTCACTGGCATGTATGACCTTTTAGCTAAAGGCTGATATGATAAATAAGAATGGTATCAACTGGCCCTGGCTGGGTGGCTTACTCAGTTGGAACATCGTCCTGTACACCAAAAAATTGCAGGTTGAATCCCCAGTCAAGGTACGTATGGGAGTCAACAAGTCCATGTTTCTCTCTCACATTGATGTTTCTCTCTCTTTCTCTTCCCCTTCCTCTCTGAAAAATCAATAAAAACATATCCTCATGTGAGGATTTTTTAAAAAAAGAAAAGATTGCTCATTCTTTAAAAAAAAAAAAAAAGGAATGGTATCAACTGAAGTTAATGTGGATGACAATGCAGTTTTCCAAGACAAACTTTTTCTTAAGTCTCCAAATTACCTTCAGTTGAAAGGTCTTAATCATCTACTTGCTGCATAATAGAAACAAAGAAAGAACCTATTTCATTCCTGTCACAGAATCAAGGCAAGGTCTGGGCCTCCCCGGAACACATGCCTATATGTGAATCGGAGACCAGTTTTTGGAACACCTTATTTTCCTCATCTATAGTCTATGATTGCTGCCATATATGTATAATGGAGACAGAAAGATGGTTTCATCCAGGAGATCAAGGTTCAATTCCCAGTCAGGGCACATGCCCAGGTTGTGGGTTTGATCCCCAGTGTGGGGCGTGCAGGAAGCAGCCAATCAATGATTTCCTCTCATTGTTGATGTTTCCATCTATCTCTCTCCCCTCCTCTCTGAAATCAATAAAAATATATTAAAAAGAAAGATGGTTTCATAATGCTACAGTTAGATTTAAATAAAACATTATGCATAAGAGAAAAGAGCCCAAGAGAAAACGCAAAGCTTTGGTTAGGTGTGCATTAACCACCCAATGGCACTTCAGAGTTACATCAAGAAATCAAAAAGTGGAGGGGGGTCAAAAAGGTGGAGAAAATGGGAGACATCTGTAATACTATCAACAACAAAGTAAACTTTAAAAAAAATAGTAGTCCAAGTTATCCACTTGAGCCCATGCACAATCCCGAGTGAATGGATTCATTTATTGAAATTCCAACTTGTCCTACAGCCCTACTGACCAAAAGGAAGTTATTGAGAGGCAGCCCAGCAATTTTTCAAATGGGCGTTTCTGTAACCTGCTGTACATGAGACATTGAAAGAGATAAGAATATATTTTCTTACCTGTGAGAAAGATAAAACTGGACATGAGAATCAATCCATAAAGCCTCTGATACATGATATGTCCTTTCATTGTCTAAACCTGTTTTAAAAAAGTCAGAAATATGCCTAGCTCAGATTCAGAACAAACAATTTCTAGGTGTATGTGACCACCTTCTTCTCATTTCATGCAAGGATTGTTCCGATTGCTTAAAATCATGTCAGGCAGCCACAATATAGACACTTACTTGCCTGAGTTATGCAGCTTGGCTGAAACCTCATAGATAGATTTATTTGCATAGCCATTCAACAAATTTTATTGAGTGCCTACTATGTGGAAGACACTGTGTTACACACTGGGAATACAGTGCTGGAAAAACAAGACAGAGATACCTGCCCTCATTGGGAAATCAGACATCAAATACATAATTACAAAATGTGATTTTATTCAACCTTTATGTACACAACTTTAACACAACAACTCTGGTTTTAACGGTTTTAACAAGCCTAAATTTTTTGAAGGAAGCATTATACAAGAAGAACTTACTGGTAAAAGTAACTCATGAAATCATTTCATCTCATTGCATTCACCCAGCTTCTCTCCTTAAATAATTCTAACGAAAGCTGATTATTTGGGAAACACACTGCAAACCCCTCTTTCTCCAACCCAAACAGTGTTAAAACTCCAAATCCTACAGAAACATATTATAGAAGTTTGGCAGTAGAGTGCTGATGGACATTTTCTAATTTTAAATAAAATACACTTCTGAATGATTTACTACTGATTTAAACACTTCTTTTCCTATAGGATAACACATCATATTGTATTTCTTTCTACTTCTAAGTGGGATTTGGAGTGAATAGACTCACTTTGTATTTAAAGTAACAGAAGTCAATTAGGAAACCCAATGAGTCTTGGACTTGCTTTGAGCACCTGTCATTAATAAGGCTCTTCACATTTACCAAGTGTTCGAATGCCATTCTCATTAGAATAATAAGGGAATTTGTATGACTTGGATGGATTTTTTAAACTACAAACTTAGAAGTAAGGGGATATCTAAATCTTTTATGACATGCAAGATGAACTGCAACTTAAATTTACAGTGCTATAAGAGTACCAGATAAGAATCTGTAACAAGCTGTAAGGCTGTATTTCTGCTCCTTCATTTCCCTGGACCTCAGTTTCCTTATCTGTAAAAATAGAGATAATAATCTGCCTATTTCCCAAAGCTGCTATAGAAGATCAAATGATGTGATATTTAAAAGGCAATTTTCAAAGTATAAAGTGCTATAGAAATGGATATGATCACTATCTATAAAATGGAATTTTCAACAGCAAACAATCCAATTTATATTTTTCTTACATTTCCTCTAAACTTTTATAACAATCTCAAGGTATGTTTCAGAAACTTACCTGGCACTCAAAAAGTAAATCATGGGATTTTCACACTACAGAATACTATGCAGTCATTAAAGAGAATAAGATAAGACCAGCCAGTGTGGCTCAGTGGTTGAGTGTCAACCCAGGAATCAAGAGGTCACCGGTTAGATTCCCAGGTTGCAGGCTCCATCCCCAGTAGGTAGTGTGTAGAAGGCAGTTGATCTATGATGTTTCTCTCTCATCGATGTTTCTTTCTATCCCTCTCCTTTCCTCTCTCTCCAAAAAATCAACAAAAAACATTTTTTTTAAAAAAAGGAATAAGGTAAGTCTATATGTCTATCAGGCATAAAAGGGTGGGTGGGGAGTGGGGACAGGATCTTTCATTTTATGTACCATGCAATTCTGTACTGCTTTGCTTGATTCTTTTAAATTATCACACATTACCTATATAACTTTAAAAGTTGAAAGAAAAGAGAAAGAAAGGAAGAGAGGGCTAAAGAAAGAGAGGGAAGACAGGAAGGAAGTGGATGAGAGAAGTAGAAAGGAAGAATAGGAATTAAATAGGTTTCCTTTATACCTAATACCATTCAGTATTGTTTGATTATTTTACAATGAGCATGCATTACTTTTATAATTTTTTTTAAAAAAATGAAAGAAGAAAGAAAAGAGGGAAAGAAGTGAAAGAATGGAGATTAAGGACTTTTATATTATACCTCATACAATTATATGCAATTCTGTTCTTTTATGATGAATATTTATTACTTTTATAATTTTTTTAAAAAATTAAAGGAAGAAAAGAAAGAAGGAAGGAAAGATGGGGGTAAAGAAGAAGGAAGGGTGGAAGGGAGGGAAGAAGAGAAGAAAAACACTCACCTGAGAACTGGACTCCTTTAACTTCCCACCCCCGTGTCACTGTGGAGTCCACAACAAGAGTTTGCTTTACAAATGAGCAGACCTGGTCTCTAAACCCCTACATTTGACGTGAAATGGAACGAGCAAAAAGCAGGAGGTTCATTATCTGCTGGCAATGCCTCAGTCACCTCCTTTTATGGATCAAGCCAGCCTCTCTGCTCTTAGCTTTATGGGGCTTATTGACCAGGGAAAATCCTCTTTTTGTGTCTCGCAGCAAGTCATGGGGCTGCTCCCCTGAGCATGAAATCAGCATGGGCAAAGTCCTCAGGTTATTATATACCTGCAAGAACCCATTAATTTAAGGTTTCTTTTTCAGTTTTCATTAAGGATTATCTTAACTTGATTATCACTTTAATTCAATTGGATATATTAAGCAGGTACTTAACTAAGGTTCATTTCACTTTATTGAGAAAATGGGGAGTGGGGAGTGTTCAGAACTATGAGCAGAAAGTAGAGGCCAAGGAAGTATTAATATAGTCACATCTCACACTGTCAGTAAAGTGAAGCCAGCTGTTTATATTCACTGCAGATCCTTTCTTCAAATTTCCTTCAAAATAAATAGATTTACTGAACTGGTTTTGCGTCAAAGGGGGTTGTGCTTTTTGTCCCAGATGGTATCATTATAGCCCTTTGGAGATGATAGAAATATCAAATCTCATCAAAATATCCAGAGATGTTCCTCACCAGCCTCTGCATTTCCAAGATCAGGACCCTGAGTTCCAGAGGGTAGAATAACTTGCTCAAGTTCATTGAGCTTATGAGAGGCAGAACAGGAGCTAGGACCATGGGCTCCTGACTCCAAGACCAATACCTTTTTCTCTCCATCTCACACCTTAAATGGAAAAATTCAGTCTAGTAAGAGATTCTGTCAAAGTATTATCTGTAAGCCAGTGGTTCTTCAGACAGGAAAGGGAAGGAGAGTGTCTCAGACTCACCGATTACCCACTCCAAGCCCAGAAACTGTTATCAGTGTGGAGGATGAGAGTCCAGATTTTGCAGAAAGATAGACAAGTTTGAATCTCAATTGTGTGGTTTAGGGCCTGTTCCCCTAACATCTCTAGAGCCCCCAGTACCCTCATGTGAAAAATGTAGATAATGACACTTACCTTGTAACCCTGGGAAGATTATGTGATACTGTGTGTATAAAGGGCTTTAGCCCAGTACCTGGCATGGAACTCTAGTTTTTTAATTATCTAGAATTTTAATTATCTGCATACGTTGCTTTGTCAAAGAAAAATACTATGTTTACTTTTTAAATCCAATGTATCAAATGAAATAATTTACTGGAAAATGAAATGTGCAGAAAAAGGAAGAGGTTAGAGCTCTTGGTCAGGAAGAAAATGCCACCTGAGGAGAGAGGACTTCAATGGGTAGCTTCCATTATCTGGAAGGTTATATGGTGAATGTTGACCATATGTTCTCCTTATCTACAGGGTAATAGGAAATGGACTGAAATTACAGTGGGAGATGTGAGTTAAACATAAATAAGTCATTATTGAGCATAGTTTCTGATAAACACCCAAAAAGGCTATCACGGGATGTTTTGAGCCTTCCATCCCTGGAAACTCAAAGGTCTAGATTGCCATATGGCTCTGCTGATTTATGTGTCCTCCCACAGAGAGAGAAGGCTGATCTTGTTGAGACTCTGTTTCCCTTTCTGACACTAGAAGAAACACTTAATCTGGTGATGTTCCAGGCTGTCATTGTTCCCTCTTCCCTTTCCAGGTCATTTGGGAATCTGATTATTTCTACACATCATGGCTCCCAACCACAGGCTTCCTATTGAATTTAAGGACCAACCATAGAAACAATGAAAGGATCTGATGCTGGAGGAAAAATCAACTGTGTTGATGACTTCCTAAGAGATTTTCAAGGACAATTTTTATTATATTTGATTGCCACCTTAAACACTACCATCCAACTGATTCCTTGCTGATTGTCATTACCATGTATACCTTCATACTTTTGCTGCACATGTGGGCATATCCTATCTAATAATGCGGTAGTATGCAAATTGACCATCACTCCAACACACAAGATGGCCACCCCCATGTGGTCAAAGATGGCTGCCCCCATGTGGACACAAGATGGCCGGCAGGGGAGGGCAATTGGGAGGGACTAGGCCTGAAAGGGAGGGCAGTTGGGGGGGACCAGTCCTGCAGGGGAGGGCAGTTAGGGGCAATCGGGCTGGCAGGGGAACAGTTAAGCATCGATCAGGCTGGCAGGGGAGTGGTTAGGGGGTGATCAAGCAGGCAGGCAGGTGAGCAGTTGGGAGCCAGCAGTCCTGGCCTGGTGGGCCAGCACTCCTCAAACCTTTAATAGTTTTAGCAGTCATTGTTCATATTTGCCTGATGGTTGCCAAAAAGCAATTTTCTATTTTAATCATTTTTCTTACATTTATTAGTCAGCTTTCTACAGAAAGAAAAAGTTTTCCCTTCTCCCATATTCATTCATTCATTCATTCATTCATTTATTCACATGGGTTCTTATTTTATTCAGTAAGCTATAATCTATTATTATTAATTTATGCTCAAACTGTCCTAGATGGAACAAATTGTCCAACAAGAGCTCTTTCAAGTTGGCTTCTGTGTCCTTTTGACATATTCCCATAATTCTTTGAGCACTTTCTTACACAAGATTTTCCCGTTTTATCTTGCATTTTCCATGCCTCAGACCTAGAATACACCATTTCTCTTAAGATCCCTGGCTCCATTTAGTGGCTAATGGTGTCTAATAACCAAGATCTGGGTCATGGCAAAGTTTTGAACAAAAGAATAACATGACCTGACATGTTTTTATAC